ATGATTGGACTGAGCTGCAGCACCGGACCAAGGAGGACTCGTCCTGTGCTGAGAAAGAATAAAAGGAGATCGAGATCTCTTTCTAGATGCTTCCCCCGAGCTGGCCTCCCCAGAGGACGGCCTGCCCGGTGAAGGCGGCGGCAACGGAGAAGGAGGGTCTAAGGGCCTCTTCCCAAGCGTCATCATCATGCGGCCTTTCTTCGATGAAGAAAGGCCACTCTCGGATTTTGTTCTTGCGGTTCTTAGCCACTAAGATTCAGGTAGAACGATTGAGGTTGGCTTAAAGATTTTTGAAAGTCTTTCCCCACAGACGGCGCCAAATTGTTTCGGGTAAAAACAACGGGACCTTGCCGAAGGTCCTTCTGAAGTGGTTGAAGACTGGTCTCGGTCCAAGTAATGCTGGGCCGAGAGTTTCCTCCACAGCAAACACACGTAAACTGGCCTCAGGGGTTGTGCCGAGGAAGGCCCCTCCGATGTCGAAGTCAAACAGTGCTTAGAGAGAGAAAGCTATGCAAGAGTATTAAATGCTTGAGGCTATATATGAATGAATGATAAATGGTACAATTGATGGTTTTTATACCTTTGCTTAAATGGAATAATGGGCCTAAGCCAAATGGACTCACCATATGGACTTAGACCTTGACTTGACTTTGACTTGGCATGGATTGGAGGGTTGAACCTTTGACCTTGGACTTAGAATTGAATCATTTATGGACTAGGCCCAATTAGACAAATTGGACCCAAACACTACTTATTATACAATTTTTGTTCATTTATAAAAGGCAGGATGTTCCTTTTTATTATATACCCGTTTCAAATTATTTCATACATTATTGTACATGTTCATTTATAAATTCTCAAATTATGGAAACACTTACCCCTACAGTTGTTTAACAATTTTATTTTATTTTGTCAAAAAATCAAAATGTTCATTTATATTTTATTTGATGTTTATTTTCATATTTATAAATATTCATATACTTAATAGTTTATATACTCGACTTAGTCCACTAATTTATAATATGTTTATTTCATGAGCCTCTATCATTAATTATCCTCATATTCCTTTAATAATTCAAAATTATAACTTTTATAAATTTTTTATCATCTATGAAAATAAGTAAATGTTCTATCAAACCAAAATTATTCAATGTTCATTTACAAAATATTATATGTTCATTTATATGTTTGTCTTTTATTGGTGAAAAAATGCATTGTACAGTATGGTGTTTTTATTGCCTTTTTATGAGCTTTAATCTTCATCATTTTCTCTCTCCTTCTTAATACCTCTACAATCCTCTAAGCTTAACTATTTATCTTTTTCTCTCTCCTTCTCAATTGCTTCCATATTTGACATCAACCACTGCACAAAGTAAGTTAAAAACTAGGGCCCCGTTTGGTTTAATGTAAAACATTTTCAATGGAAAATTAGTTTTCATGGAAAATATATTTTCAAAGAAAAACACAATTACAAATTAGTTTTCCATTATTTGGTTGCATACAAGAAAATTTCAAGAAAATTAAAAAAAAATAGGGGTGAAAATGTAAGGATGAATCAGAGGGAAGTAAAAAAAGAAGGTAAGGAGGAGAGAGTAGGGCTGAGCAAAACTATCTGAAAATCCAAAAATCCGATGATTCGATCTGCATCTGATCTGAAAATTATGGATAACCAATCCGAAATTGATTTTGGATCGGATATCCGATCCGTAAAAATCGGATATCGGATATCGAAAAGTTGAATTTCTGATATCCGATATCCGAAAAAAAAAAAAAAACACTTAAGGAGTACTTTATTACTACGTATTAATGTATATGTTTATTTTATCATCCCAAGCCCAAACACTCGCAGGCCCAAACTCAAACCCTAACCCTTATTTTACTCCCTTAAAACACAAAACTCCCCTACTGCCGCTTTCTCTCCTCCCCTTCCTCCTACTTCCTCTCTCTCTCCTCTTTCTTCTATTAGATCTGAAAGTCTGCATTTCTGCAAGACTGCAACCTAATCTCACTCTATAATTCTAGAAATCATCAAATCCCACACTTAAGTTTTGATAATAGTCCCCTTCGACTGCGGCGGCTTCCTCACATATGCTCCACGGCTACACCAACAATGGCTTCTCAGTGGCAGCTCTATCTACACTTTTTCTGATTTTTTTTTTCTCATTTGATCTGAAGTTTTAAAGGATTTGTTTTGTACTTCTGTATATAAGTGTTACAATTTTCTGGGTTTGTTAACGTTGTAATGATGAAATTGATTTTGCATTCATGAAAAATGTGAAATGTATCCTAGTTTTGTTTTTCTTGAATTTATTTTCCAGTTTTGCGTATCAATTTGCCTTTTACAACAAATATATTTTGCTATCATAATAGTAATTTAACAATATTAGTTTTATATTTATATATATATATATATATATATATATATATATATATATATATATATATATATATATATATATATATATTAAAAATGCTCGGATATTAGATATCGGACTTATCCGAATCGAAATTTTTGGATACCTGAATATCGGATATCCGACCAATTTCGGATCGGATACGGATATCAAATACTAGAATTTTTGAATACGGATATCCGATCCATGCTCACCCCTAGGAGAGTGGGAAAAGTGGTTGTTTTGGGAAGGAAAATGTTTTTCATCATTAAGGATGGAATTCTCCATCCTTAGAAAAATTGTATTTTAACAAACAAAACAAAGGAAAATGGGAAAAAAAAATGGAAAAATCATTTTCCATGAAAACCTTTACTTCAAATCAAATAGGGCCTTGAACAATAAGTAGTCGACAGCTTTAGTTGCCTCAACAGTAAACTAGCATAATTCCAAATCTTCATCCCACAAAAAAAATTAGAAAATTTTGGATCAAGTTATATATTTTTCGATTCTTGACTTCTTGTGTTAGCTTCTTGATATGGCGACAAACAATTTTGAATCAAATCGATACACAAAAACCTCTGCAACTCATAAATATATTTAAAGCAAATGCAGAGATTCTACCGAAATTTTATTTTGTGACCAATGGAGGAGAGAATGGCACTAAGATTGGCAGAGATGTAGTTCACTAAAGTTGATTAAGAATTTAAGATGGAGATCAAGGTGTCCTATAGTTTGGAGATGAAAGTGAAACCAATTAAAAACAGCAGGATGCGACGTCTTTGAAAGGGGTGCAGTGATTTCATCTTACACCTGAGCCTAGGTAAAAATTTGTATCATTTTCCTAGCCTATCTTTATTTCCATATTGAGCTCTAATTCTTTAATTAATTATTCACCTTTTTTCCTAGGCCCAATCCACTAATCAACCCATCCACAAACTAAACCAAACTTATTAAGAAGTTCTAGAACTCCTAAAACGCGTAAATAGTTGTATAAACGTATAAAAAAAAGGCAAAGTTGGTATAAACCACCTTTTTTGTCCAACTTTTTTGAAAAACCCACCTTTTATGTTTTTTTTATTTACTAAACCATCTTTTAAGTACCTAAATTCTTCATTGCACCACCTCTATTTCAAATTTTGACGAAAAATTTAACTGAGACGTCAAAGGGGCCCCACAAGTTGTGTCTTTCGCTCCTAAATCATGTATTTTTTTTCACCCCAAAAAACATTTGACTCTTCCTTCTATATAAATGCATGACTAAATTGAGTAAAGCTCTAAAAAAAACCCAACCTAATTTTGCTACAAAAATTAAATTGTAGTATTTGTTTATTCTCAAACCATAAATTGAGGTAATAGAAGTGATAGTTGAGATGGAAGGGAAGGTTTTGCTATGGTTGATGATTTGGAAGTGGATGGTTGAGATGCAATCTGTTAGATTTGAAATAGGGTGGTGGAATAAAAAAATTTAGGTACTTAAAAAGTGGTTTAGTAAATAAAAAAAATATAAAGGTGGTTTTTTTCACAAAAAGTTGGATAAAAAAGGTGGTTTATAACAATTTTACCTAAAATAATCAAAAAACACATAAAGCATGAAAATTGGAAATTCCGAGTCTGATGCGCCACATCACCATCTCGTGCGACACACCAACTTATGGCGCGACACCGTGTCTCACCAAGTATGTAGCTTCACGCCAAGCTCCTCTGGGTCACGACAAACCTTGGTGAGACATGCTAGCCTCTTTTCTAACAGTATTTTTGGAACATTCTAAATAGGCTCGGATTAACTTGTGAGTTAGAAATTAATGGATAGAGCTTGAAATAAAATTGGAAAACGGTTTAATTAAAGGTTTGGGCTTAAATTAGAATAGGAAATGGGCTATGGGTTGGATTTCTAAATAAAATTCGAGTAGTTCTTTGATTTAATACACGACCAAGATCAAATGGATGTGAAAAAATTGTTCATTATTGAGTTTGGTCGAGGTGACACATGTAGATGTCTAATTGTCTATAGTACCACATTGGCTTCACGTTGACAAGTACCGTAATTTTTAATCCAAACTCGAAATGGGGCAAATTAAATTATATATTGTTGGGAAGCTACAAAAGTCTATCTACATTTTAACCCAATAAAAAGCTATTTAATATTTTTTTTTTATTTAAAAATATGGTCAAAAAGTGAAAAGATGTCCGTTTTCCGTCTAACATTAGTGTTTCACTCATTTATAAATCGAAATTGACATACTATACATTGTCGTATCTAAGGAATAAGGGGGTGTTTGGTTCAAGCATATTAGATATAAGGTATGGGTTTGGAATGATCAACATACCTTGTGTTTGTTTTTGTGAACTGCTATTCGTCGTTCGCAAATTACAGGATGACGCTCCCATTTTTATGTGTATTGACTATTTTGCCCTTGATTGTTTTAATTCCATATAAGGCTCCACCATGACTCACTTTAGCTAGTAAAAAGTTTAATATTATTCTCGACCCCCCACTTGTCTTTAAAAAATCCCGACCCACCAAAAAACCCGAGACCACCATTGTACGGTAATTCCGACCAATTTTTAAAAAATCCCGAGTGTGGTAGTTGGGGCCCACTATTCACGATGAGCGACGACAACTTTAATACGCCGGAGCAGTCGTCGGAAAAATCTGTAAGTCGTAGTTTTTAATTTTTATTTTTTTTTTTTGGACTTCCGCCCATTTTTTCCGGATCCCAGGGGGAGATCCGCCTAAAAAATCCGGAAGATCCTCCAAGGATCCGGAAATTCTAAGCGGATCCCCACATACGCCTGGAATTTCCGGATCCCAGAAAGATCTTCCGGATTTTTTAGGCGGATCTCCCCCCTGGGATCCGGAAAAAATGGGCGGAAGTCCAAAATTTCGTTTTTTTTTTATTTTTATTCTTTCTAAATTCATAACATTATTTTTGCTGATTTTTTTGTGAGTATTATTATATTGTCTTAGTTATTATTATTATTAATTATGTTTATATTTCTAATGTTTTTGTTATTGTTATTGTTATTGTTATTGTTGTTGTTGTTGTTGTTGTTGTTGTTGTTGTTGTTGTTGTTAGTACGATTATGATTATTATTATTATTATTATTGTTGTTGTTGTTGTTGTTGTTGTTGTTGTTGTTGTTGTTGTTGTTGTTGTTGTTGTTGTTGTTGTTGTTAGTACGATTATTATTATTATTATTATTATTATTATTATTATTATTATTATTATTATTATTATTATTATTATTATTATTGTTATTTTTGTTGTTGTTGTTAGTACGATTATTATTATTATTATTATTATTATCATTATTATTATTATTGTTATTGTTATTGTTATTGTTGTTGTTAGTATGATTATGATTATGATTATTATTATTATTATTATTATTATTATTATTATTATTGAATTTTTTATTTTTATTTTTATTATTATCATTTTTGTTATTATTCTTATTATTGGTATTATTATTATTATTAATAATATTGTTACTGTTGTTGTTAGCATGATTATTGTTATTGTAATTACTATCACTATTGTTGTTACTATTATTTATATTATTATTTTTATTATTATTATTAAGGTTGTTATTATTAGTATTATAGTTTTTGTTATTAATAAAAATATTAGTATTATTATTAAATTTATAATACTAATATTTGCCTCATTTGTTTGGTTTATTGTTAAAGGATTCGGAGGATGAAGAAGGTGGTGACGGGGTGGATTATAGTGCAAATTTCGTGACAGACAAGGTTTTTCGAACGTTTGATGAAGCAGTTAGTTGGGCGGATGCTGTTGCAATAAATCTGGGATTTATTTTGGTGAAATCGTCTTTCAACAGACAGAGGGATGGTCGACCATATCGATATTTAAGATGTGATCGGGGACGCAGGAGTAATCCGAGAGATCTTGAGAACGCAATAAGGAAGGACACGAAAACCAAAGCCAATGGTTGTCCTTTCTACATCAAGATATCTTACAATTTTGTTGACGATTGGTTTATCACGGCGAAAAATGATGTAACTAGGACCCACAACCATCCAATGATTGCGTATCCAGAGGGGCATCGTAAAATAAGCGGGTTAAGCCCGGAAGCGAAGCAGGTTGTGCGTAACATGACCAAGTCTAAGGTAGCACCGCGTAACATCATGGCGACTATTGCCGAGCAATTTCCTCAGGATCATCCAAACATCAGACACATCTACAACTGCCGAAATGACTTCTGAACCGAGATGTCAGATGGGAGAGGAGTTGTTCAGCAGTTTCTACATTTGGCTAGACAGAGTCGGTATGTGTACTGGGTATTGTCTGATGATAATGGCGTTTTACAGCACGCCTTCATGGCGCATCCAGTCATGATAGACATCCTACGGACGTACCCGTATGTGATCGGTATGGATTCCACTTACAAGACCAACCGATACGGAATGTCGTTCTTTGAGATAGTTGGTGTGACACCGACAAATCAAAATTTCCTCGTCGGTTACGTCTTCATGCGCAACGAGTGCACGGCCAGCTATCGATGGGTTTTGCAGAGATTGAGAGACTTGATCGGGTTTGATAAGGAACCGTCGGTTTTCTTGACTGATCGTGAGTTGGGGCTAGTTGCGGCATTGAGGGAAGTGTTTCCAGGGACCTCGCACTTACTTTGTCGATGGCACATTAACAAAGATGTTGAGGCTCGTGTCACTGATATGTTCAAAAACAAAAAGGTTGGTGCGACATTCAAAAACGGGAGATGGAAACGTGTGATGGACGCTGCAACCGAGGAGGATTATGAGGCTGCTGTAGAGATGATGAAACTGAAATGGGCAAGTTATCCAAAGGTGATAGAGTATGTTGAGAGGACTTGGCTTTGTCATAAAACAAAGTTTGTGACATTTTGGACTAACCAAGTTCTTCATTTTGGCAACACAAGCACATGTAGAGTTGAGAGCCAGCATTCGGCCGTCAAGATGTGGTTTGATTCTTCGACAGGTTCGTTTTTTGGTTGTTGTATTTGATGTATGTATTTTGTTGTATTTATGTTTGTTGTGAATAATAACGTTTTTTTGGTAATGTGCAGGTTCTTTGGATACCGTATGGGCCCGAGTTCATTGTCACATTGGTAATCAAATCATCGCTATTCGTAATGATTTGGAGGCATCTAGGTCGAAGATTGGTCAGAAGTACCGACAATTGCCATTGTCACGTATTAACGGCAAGGTGTCTCAGCATTGTTTGAAGATTCTCGACAAGGAGACGAAAAGGATGAGGGATCTGAGTTATCAGATGTATGAGCGTTGCGGATGTGCATTGCGGGTGACCCATGGTTTGCCATGTGCTTGTCAGATACATGAGTCTTTAGCTCGAGAGACGGGCTTGTATAGTAGGCAAATTCACCAGTTCTGGAAGACTTTGGTTATCGGCAATGGTAATGACGGAACAACGTTCGGTAATGACGCGACCGAGGACGCCACACATTTTCGAAATCTGATGGACGAGGTACTTGGTAGTGACAATGCTGTTCTACGAAATGTGACACGCATCATTGAGGAAGAGCTACATCCGGATCATGATAACCTCCAAGAACCTCATATCAACCATAGGGTGCGTGGTCGACAGAGGAACAACGATACAAGACGTGATCGGTCTTATTTCGAACATGTGAATCGCCGAAACAGTCACTCTGGTCAACGACAAGGAGGTATGATTTTGGTATTGTGGGTTTAATCGTTTTTCATGAGTTCTTGTACTAATAACTGAACCCTCCTCAGGCCCACCTGGCATCGGCCCCCGAACCACCCACGACTCAGACGAGCTGGTAGAACCTTCACCTGGTTCACTACTACTACCATATCTCCCATGGTCACCCCTATACACAGCACAGTAATCCTGAGGGTCGTACTCTGAATCTCGACTAGCATGACTAGCTCGCTCATCGTCGTCCTCTTCGTCAGATAAAGGAACTCTACCCGACAAGTACATGGGGGCGCTCATGTCTGACTGATGCTCCCCCGACCAAGTACGAGCAGACCCGTACTGCTGCTCACGGTGAAACAGTGCCTCCGAAGGTCCTGCACCACCTAACTCCCTCCTCACTGATGCATTCAAACGTCTCGATCTTGCATGTCGAGCGCCCGAACCCTCAATCTGCATTAAATAAGTAGAAAATATAATTTCATTAATACTTACACACACAACTATGATATCAACCTTGAATCGTTAATATTCCAATTCCAAAATAATAGCAACAATACATAACAATTACAATAAATGAAAAAACAAATTACATAAACATAACAACATTACATAACAATAACAATAAATGAAAACAAAAAATAAAAAAACATAACAACAAATAAAAAAAATAAACATCACAACAATGCATAACAATAACAATAAATGAAAAATAAAGTAAATAAACATAATAATAACAACAATACATAAAACAAAATAAATAAATAAAAAAAAACAAAATATAAATAGCTTCATCAAACAAAAGAAAAAAAAAGAATAAACAAACACAAACAAATTAAAAAAAAAATAACCATCACCAAACAAAAGGAAAAAAAAAACAAAATATAAATAGCTTCATCAAACAAAAGAAAAAAAAAAGAATAAACAAACACAAACAAATTACAAAAAAAAAAAAAAACCATCACCAAACAAAAGAAAAAAAATAAAAAAAAAACAAAAAATAAAAAACAAACAAAGACAAAATACAAAAAAAAACAGAAAAAAAAAACAGCTTCACCCAAAAAAAGAAAAAAAATTCAACAAAAAAAACATAAAAAAAAAACAAAAAAAGAAAACACCTTCAGCAAACAAAAGAAAAGGAAAAAAAAGAAAAAAAACAAAACAAAAAAAAAAACGGAAAACCCAGAACTTCCGCCTGAAATTTCCGGAAGTCTGGGGAACTTCCGGAAATTTCAGGCGGAAGTCTGGGTTTTTCAGAATTTTTTTTTTTCCTTTTACATTACAGCAGCAAAGAACGTAATACCAACCTGCTCGCCACCGGAAATGCCGCCCCCACGACCACCGTACGTAAGCCTAATGTCTCTCCCGTCCGCCATACCCGGATTCTTGCTTTGATTGGTTTTCGTACGTTCTTCGTTTGATTTTCAAATTTTTGGTTTTTTTTGAAAATAAATTTCTGATTTTTTTTCCTTTGAATTTTTTTTTTCTGAATTTTTTTTTTTAAAATTCTTGCCTTTTTTTTAGAGAGAGAAAGTTTGAGAGAGAGAGTGTCGGGGTTGAGAAATGACTTGTGAGTTTCGTAACTCGGTTTTCCAAGTATTTATATATGAGGGGCAAATTAGGAAATTCCATAAAAAAATGCGAGCGTCACCTTGTAATTTGTGAACGACGTTTAACAACACCTTTGTTTTTTGACATTTCATTTTTCAAACCCATACCTCAAACCCTCAGGGTATGGGTTTTTGAAACCCAAGGGGGGAGGTGGGTATGGCTCATACACATACCTTTAGGTTTAAAATTAAAAGGAAGACTATCATTCCTAGATAAAAACCAAACACATGAAATCAAGTATCAAGTTTCAACCCCATACCACCCAAGTTTCATTCCTCATTCCAAACCCATACCATTGTTTGAACCAAACACCCCCTAAATGACTATATTAGTATTATAGGTGATTAAAGATTTGTAAAACAAGTGAGTTTGATTTTGGATTAAGGCCCTGTTCTTTTCACCTTAAAAAAATAATATTAAGTAAAAATAATTTCAGTTTAGTAAAAATAAGTTCAGTTCAGTAAAATTAATTTCAGTTCAATAAAAATAATTTTAATTCAGTAAAAATAAGTTCAGTTCAGTAAAATTCAGTTTTCTTAAAGAAGAATTATAATGGAAAATCAGTAAAAATTGAGCCAAGCTTCATGAATAATGACAACAAAATTGGGCTTAATGGGTTTTTTGAATGGTTTGGATAGAACATTATTGAATTGATTTGAAAATTTTAAAAAGTTCCATTGACAGTTTTCAACCCGGTATTGAATTCAAATGAGACTTGAACCTATTATTTTTTACTACATTGATCGTTGATACCAGGTCTAGCAATTAACCCAATCAAAAATTTAACATAATAGAGGTAGAGCTTTAAATTGATTATTGTCCCAGTTATACAAATACATATTATCATTATGAAAAAGTTCGGTTATTGAAATACACCCTCCATTTTGTAGTAAAATCGCAATACTTTTCTTATAACGCTCGTTTTTATAATAATCAAAACATGGATAATGCTATATGTAGCCCTAAGAGCTATATATAAGCATTAAATATACACTTAAAAATTGTATAAAATTAGGAATTTATGACAAAAACACGCGTAAATCAGTGTAATTAGTGTTTATATTTTTATGATTTTTTAACTTTTTACCATTTTCAAGTGTAAATTTAATGTTTATATGTAGCCTTAAAGGCTATATATAGCATTTTCCTTAAAACATTTATGTAAAAAGTCACTACTTTATTTTTTCTACCAACCCCACTTATAATATGAAATATATTTTTTTTTTAACAATTAAATATATTTTATAGTAATATAGAAATCTCTATTTGATCTTTATCCTATAATTTTCCTAAGAGTTTATAATATATCTATATATATTACGATTATTTAATAAATATTACGATTATTACAAAACGTGAGAAATAATACATTAATGGAGAACGTACATATATTTTCAACGTTCAAAAGAAAATGGAGCGAATGTTACCCCATTCTATCAATATTCGGTTCTGAAAAACGAGACTATGGACTTCCTTTGGGGTTAATGATTTAGGCACACCCAATATATTTTTTTTATAGGTAGTCTTACCATGTTTATGTAAATAAACAATTCTAGTTTACTGTATAATAGAGACGTAAGAAGCATCTCTAGGTGTTATGCAATTGATTATCCATTCTAGGGTTTCACAATCTCAAATGCATCTTTCTTTACATATCTTAGGTTATTATTTTTGTCATTTTTATCAGCCCCAAAACCAAGGGTACAAGAAACTAAATAAAATAATAGACTACGTAAAAAAGGATTGCATTGGGTATAGGCTTTTGGGTCAAAAGGTTGTAATCCTTGATGCCATGAGTAAAGTTCAATTTTCAACCTAATTAAACTAATACCGACATTAGCTAACTTATGAATTTAGTTATTGGAATTTGTTCCCAGTGGCTATCCTATTAGCTAGGCTCTTGATACAAATTACTATGCGGGCATGGGGAACTCAATTGTAGGTCGCTTACCTAGACACATGGCATGGCATGCCTTGTGGGTCCATGCAAAAGGTTATTAAGCAAGATTATTGACATGCTCTATTAGTCTACTCCGTATTTCGTATATTTTGACCAATCAAAAAATTAGGGGTGAGCAAAAAATCAGGTCTCTAAATTGGGACTAGAACTTGTTAAGAACTACAAGTTTTAGACTTAGAATCTAAATAAGAGATTCCAGTTTCGGGTAATAAAATTAAAAACATATAGCAACATGTTATGATTCATGTTCTCAATTTTTCGATACTGAAATTTGTAGGATACCATGTAATTTCATAAAATAAATCACTTATACTCAAATTATACACCTATTCAAGCCTAATTTTTAAAAATTTAATTTAATAATTATAAATATATGTATTGAATTTGTGACCATGTAGATTTTTGGAAAATAATTTTGCACAAAATTATTAAGTACAGTAAAAGACAAAGTACTCTAAATCGGAACTAGAATTTAACATGCATGTTTTTTCGATTCTCATTTTCCATAAAAAAAAAAATTCAATTACGGTTCCCATTTTGAGAAACATGTTGTACCGGGTTCAAGTTTTAGAAATTTTAATAGGGTACCATTTTATGCTCACCCCTAATCAAAATAGATGAATTGCTATCGATCTACAAGTAAAATGGGTTGTTTACCTCAAATAGGCATATACTCTTTATCCTAAAATAATTAATATAATTAAACTTAAAACACATATTAATGCAATACTTTGACCTTAAATGTATATATTTAGGCCATATTTGGTAAATGGCTTTTTGGTGGCTTTTTGGTTAGCTTTTGGCTTTTGGTGTTTTTATGAGGTCAAACAGCCAAAAAATGTGTTTGATAATTGGTTTTTTAGCTAGTGAAAAAGCTGGCTTTTAAGCCAAAATGAAAAAAGCTGCTTTGAATAGCTTTTTTGTTGGCTTTTGGCTTGTTGGCCCACAAATTATCTAATAAACAACCAACTACCAACAATTAATTTACCAAACATTTTTATAAACAGCCAGCTTTAACAGCCAATTTCAAAATCCATTATAAACAGCCGAACATACCAACTGGTCAAACAAGCCAAGTGAACCAGTCAACCGCCAACAACCACTTGCCAAACAAGGCCTTAAACATTAATAAAAGATTAAAAAATTAATATTTAAAACTTTAAATGAATACAAAGTAACTTTTTAGCATTATATTTGAAGATATAATTTAATTCTTAGGAAATTTTGACATTTGCTATCAAGAAAAACACCTCGATTCACATTTGTTACCGGTAATTAATTAATTAATGGGTTTTTCTATATAGTAACCTTGTTTTTTTCACTTTTCTACGTTGTGCCCCAACATATATCACTTTCTACACTGTAACCCCAATATATTTTTTGTTTCCACACGGTAACCTTGCCGTTAAAAAGTTCCGTTGGTGGGGCCCACTCTCCATTATTAATATTTTTTTATCGATTTGCGCGTTGAAAAATACCCCGTCAAAGGTTTAAAGGGCTATTTTGGCCCTTAAGGGTCCAAATTGAGCCCAGATTTGACAAAAAAATAACGTAAATGCCTCGTTTTGTGTGTTAAAATGTGAACACGTAAATCGAGACATTTCTTAATAAGCAAAACGAGGCATTTACGTTATTTTTTTGCCAAATCTAAGCTCAATTTTGACCCCTAAGAACCAAAATAGCCCCCGAAACCTTTGACGGAGTATTTTTCAACGAACAAATCGATAAAAAAAACTAATAATGGAGAGTGGGTCCCACTAACGGAATTTTTTAACAGCAGGATAACAGCAAGGTTACCGTATGGAAACAAAAAATATATTGGGGTTACAACGTAGAAAGTGATATATATTAGGGCACAACGTAGAAAAGTGAAAAAACAGGGTTACTATATAGAAAAACCCTTAATTAATTTATTTATTTTTTTTATTTTTTATTTTACTTTGCTACCACCCAAATCTCACATTGTTAAATTTTACTACCTAATGCCTTAATACCGTTACTATTTTCGGTATTGGGGCCCTATCACCGTTCATCCACCTTCCAGCCACTCCTCCATCCCCAGCTTCATCATATCACTGCCACCTTCCTACCCCCCATCAATGTTGCCCTTCTCCCCTCTTGCTGCCGGCTTCCCTACCCCATTCCCTTTCCCCCACTTACGCAGCCAACCCCCTTCCCTTTCCCCCACCTATGCAGCCACCTTCCCTGCCAGAGTGCCAACCACCCTCACTTCCAACCACAACAACACCCACTCCACCTTCACCCCTCAGCGCACACATTCACCATCTGCACCTAACAATTGCAGCCACCAATTCACAGACTCCCACACAAATTAGCCGCTACGCCCTCGCTTTTTATAGCAATGAGCATCGACCGTCACAACCCACCGCGCGCAGCAACCGCTACCACCATCAATTCATTATTTGCTCGCCACACACAATCAATCACTTCCCGCAACACCACCATCACCACCAATTTCGCATCTAATCGAAAACTTAGCCCATTGAAAACCCTCAATTTCGAAGGGTAAGAATTTGGTAGGGCAGCTAAGCAGAGTAGAAAAGGGGACGAGGTGGGGTCACCGGCACAGACCGCCGACGGGGGGGGGGGGGGTGGTTGAATTGAGGGGTTAGCAGCTGGCTGTTTCCTTTTTAAATTTTTTTTTTATATTTAACGGATTCTTTTAAGTGGTAGTGAAATTTAACAATATGGGATTTTGGTGGTAAAAAAAATATTTAAGTGGTAGCAAATGTGAGTCGAGGTGTTTTTCCTTATAGAAAATGTCAAGTTTTGTTATTTTTAATACGCTATTAAGTAGGATGAGAAGGAGAGAGGAATATTAAAATACAGTAAACTTTCAAGACAACCATACCAGATATGTAAGGAGTCTTGAACTGTAAGTTAACTTAGGGTTCGTTTGGCATTGCTGTGGTTTTCTGTTTTTTGTTTTTTGTTATATAAAAATATATGATATATGTCACATAATGAATAAAAAATTATTTAAACTGATTAAAATCATAATAATTTTGAAAACTGACAACAAAAAAGTGGAAACACCTTTTTTTTTGTTTCCTATTTTTGGTTTTTAGTCTAAAAAAAAAAGGAAACTAAAAACAAAAAATGATGCCAAACAAGCCCTTAGCTATTCGGTTTGATTTGAGAAATTCAATACCTAAACCCAATATGTAACCAATATAATGCAATCTGAACTAAACCCGAATTGGAATTTAAACTGATTTGAACTTAATTCGACATTGATTTGACCCGACTTGAACTCAATCCACCACAAATTTGAGTCAATTTGAACTCAAACCGACACCACATGGTCAAATACCATATTCAATTTGATTTGTTCTAACTCGTCATGATTTCAAACCAAACATAATTTCAAACTCAACCTTGAATATCCTTTTTTTTTTCTTACTTAAACATAATTACTTTGATTCATGTAATTGTTTGTTTCATTAATCATTAGTAATTTTTATTTATTTTTACATAAACATAACCTGATCATATATGACTATCATTTATCAATATGTCACTAGTCACTACTTATCATCTCCATTATGTGAGTATGATAAGTCATCAATAATTCTATTTGAAATTGGCTTAAAGATAAACCTTATATAAGAACTTATCCAATGAGATAATTAATACTTACCTCCGTTTTTTTTAGTTTACACGTTACTTTATCATTCTCTTTCCTCTCCTTAATATGTGTGCCAAAATTGAACGAGTAAACTAAATAGAAACGAAAAAAGTAATTGTTAATGACACAATTTGAAAATAACAATTGAATAACCTGATTGTTACCTAATTATAAGATGATAACTCAAAATTACTCTGATTCAAAAATACTCTTATTTGAATATTGAATTTGGTCAACCCGACCCAAATTCAGCCAAACCTAAAAAGAATCTAAATTGAAATCACCTAATAATGAATCAACTTTATATTAATCAAGTTGAATAGAACTTAACAAAAATCAGTCGAACTAGAATCAATTCGACCGAAAGTCATCCGACCAAATTTTTAACCTTGTCAAACCTATATTGAACTCGATATAAATTAATCCAAAAATAGTATGAATTTACTAGAACTTGACTTGACCCAAATACGACCCTAAGGTCCCTAACTCTATAAATCTTGACTTTACTCAAACCGAGACGACAAGACGAGTTAAAAGGGTAATATTGACCCGAACGACCCGTTCCAAAAAGACTTGGGGCTTATTCTCTTACGTTGAAATTCAGTTCAGTTCAACTCAGTTCAGTTCAGTTCAGCTCCTAATTTCCTTCTCTAATAAAATATTCATTTCGTTCTGTTCAGCTCAATTCAATTCAGTTCAGTTCAGCTGAGTTCAATCAATGAGAACAGACCCTTCATCCGTCGTGGTATTATTGCAACTCCACTACACGTCCACACTCCGAACTTCCAAAGTCCAAAATTAACAAAGAAAACACAGTTAACAAAAACTCCGTTATATCGACTTTTTTGTCTTTGTCAAATCATTCCCACCTCCCTCCCTTCTCTTCTCTGGCTATCACTCTATCTCACTCAATTTCTCTCTCCAATTATTTCATTCTTTCTAAAAAAAAATATCGTCTTTCAAAACCCAACCAAAAACCCTTCTGTACTACCTTAAACCCCTCCCAAAAAACATAAAACAAAGTTTCATTTTCATCTAAACAATGCTTCATTTTCTGACTCGTGTAAGCTTCTAGCATTGCCAAAAGCTTCATTTTCATGGAATTTGGTTTAATGGGCTCAAATGGGTTGTCGGATTCGGGCAATGTGTTAGTTGGATCTACAGATTTTTCAAATAAGGAAATGCCATCTTCAGGAACTTCTGATGATAATTGGAAACCCACAAAAATTGCTAAATTAAGTAATGCATTTTCTGATTGGCAGCAAGAACAGAATTTGTTAAGCTTCTGTTCATCAAAAAGCTCTACATTTCCATTTTTTCAGCACCCAAATTCATTTTACAGTAAAAGTGCAGGTAATTTGTTAGTAATTTGCTGAAATGATTGATTAATTTATATCTTACTTTTATTTCTTGTACTAATGTAGCAAAAAGATTGGAACTTATTTTGCCTTTTTATTTGGTTATATGAAATATTTTTTTATGGGTAGCTGAATTTAAATTTGGGTGGTGGAGGGAAATGTAAAAGAAGAGTATATTGTTAGTAGTAATTATATGCTTGTCTCCCTGTTTGAGTAATTCTGTTATATTGGGTTTTTCCAGCTGAATGAACAAAAAATACTAGGAAGTTATGGGGCATAAAAGGGAAAAGAAGTGAAAATAAAGGAACTTCCATTGATTTATTATACCTTTTTCAACTTTCTCTCTTAAAACTGTTTTAATTAGCAAGTTTAGTGACAATTAATTTTCAATATAATTATTAGTCCTAAAAATTAACAAAAAAAATGGTACAGTACAATTTAAGAATAATAAAAAAATAATTGAATCAAGGGTTAGAATTAAACTTATTTTGTGACAATAAATTGATACATAAATCTCTAAAAACATATCCTGTTTTGACTTTTTTGTGTAACACAATTATTATCGTAACAGTAAGAATTTTTAGAGACGACGAGTGTGAGAACAAATGTTTTTTTTTTTTCCTGATTCTATAGTGTTTATTTCATACGCAATAATTGATTAAAATTTTAAATGCCATATAATTTATGCCTTAAAAATAAATTTGAGTTTAATCTCTACTGTTATTTTTGTGTATGATTTAGGCTATTCGTGTAATGGAAGTTTGAATGCAAATATGTGTTTATCAAATGGAGTAAGAGCACCATTTACACCATCTCAATGGTTTGAGCTTGAACAACAAGCGTTGATCTACAAGTACATTATTGCAAATGTTCCCATACCACCTAATTTGTTGATTCCCATCAGAAGAGCTTTTGAATCAGCAGGATTTTCTAGCTTCTCTAGTGGACTTTTGAGACCCAATACATGTAAGTTTGGTCTAAACTTTTACTAGTAGCAACTTTCTTCATTTAATGCCAATTTTGTATACCTTTATGTTTATATGAGTCACATAGACAGCAATATAGATGAGATTTGAATCTTATAAGAGGTATTATTCTTGAAGACTTTAATTGACTAAACTAGTTGACTGTCATTTTTAAGTATGGTAATTTTTGGAAGCGATCTTATCTTTAAAGCTATCAATTTGTCAGAGGACAATCTATTGTACATTGAGTAAAATCTATAGAGGGGTGAATTTAGTTTTCGTTAGTACATCAGATTTGTCTCATTTAGCAAATGCTTGGAAACATCTCTAGTACTACTTGCCTTCAAGTCTTCTTCAATTCACCTGCTTGCTCACAAATGCTCACCTACCATTATTTAATCTATGACATTAAAGCATTTATTGTATAAAGAGGTGTATGTCTTACTTACTGTTCACATTGTGATAATTAATTTGGTTACATAGAATAAGATGTCACGTTTCTCTTGCCATTAGCCTTTAGGATCAATTTGAATTTTGGAGAAATCAAGAAAACGTGTAACAAACAAAGCAACTAAAGGATTGAGAGAGGATCATGGAGGGGAGGGCGGTTTGTCCCTCTATCTACCCCAAGAGTGGTCTGAGTTCGATCCTCACCCTACCCCTCCTGTGATAGGAGGAGCACCCCTCGTAAAAAAAAAAGGATTGAGAGAGAAGAGGAAAATATAAGTGATTTGAATAGCAACATAAAAACATCGATCACATTATTAAGTGCCCTCAAGCTACATTAATTCTTCATTGCTTTCGCCTTTCTATTTTTGGCTAGAATTGTTTAGGCTAGAATTGTTTAGTAAATGAACGATTATAAGGGAATAGAAGAGTTGAGAAAAGACTGGTCGGATAATTGTATTAAAAGAATGTTACTTTTACATGTAATAGCAGGACATTTCGAGATGATAGATGTTAATTGTTAGATGGAAGAGTAACATAAATGTTTTAGTCTAAAACTAGTTATACATCTGCAGTCTGCAGCTTAAATTTCTGTACTTGTCCTTAGGGCTGTACACAGTTTGGTCTGGATCGTAACCAAATCAGACCAAACCGCATTTTTGGTTTGGTTTACGGTTTGAAAAAATACGGTTTGGTTTCGATTTTTTGGGAAATACGGTTTGCGGTTTGGTTTGGTTTTTCAAAAATTATAAACCAAACCAAACCGTAAACCAGTAAACCGCATTTTAATATTTATATAATTTTTAAATCAATTAAAATAGTTGTTATATATTATAAAAAAACAAAAAACATGAAAAATCATTAGAAGACTATGCGGTCAGTGTACTACTATACTCTATACTCAATCTCAAATATCAATACTTCAAATTCAATAGGTCATATAACTATAATGTAGTATGTAGTATGAATTATTTTTTTGGACAAATGTATTATTTTTTTTTTCACTGTTAATTTGTTATGTATTATTTTTATTATGTGTTATTGTGTTAGCACTTAGCACTTGATTAGTTGGTTGTTATTTTTATTAAAAAATTGTAGTATAATTTAATCCCTTTGGGCTAATTATTTGAACTTTATTATAAGTTTATTAATATTTGACAATTTTTAGGAAAAAATGTCGTTTCATCATAAACCGCTAACCAAACCGCACCAAACCGCATTATTACGGTTTGGTTTGAATACTAATATGGTTTGGTTTGGTTTAGAAAATTGACCAAACCGTATTATACGGTTTGGTTTGGTTTAGACTCAAACCGCACCAAACCAGACCATGTTCACCCCTACTTGTCCTGCATGATGTGTTTATTTGATAGTATTTTGTTTGATTTAGTTGGATGGGGTCCTTTCCATCTCGGCTTTGCCAACAGTGCTGATCCTGAGCCAGGACGGTGTCGTAGGACGGATGGGAAGAAATGGCGGTGCTCGAGAGATGCTGTACCTGATCAAAAATACTGTGAGCGGCATATGAACAGAGGTCGCCATCGTTCAAGAAAGCCTGTGGAAGGTCATCCTGGACATTCCATCTCCGGAGTCACCACTAACAAAACTAGTTCCTCTACTACTAATGTCATGAATTCCGCCTCTTCTTTGAGTGCATTAGTGGTGCCTGGTGGTGGTACATCCAACAGCTTTGCTGTAAACCTTAATCAAAGCAAGGACATACAGCCTGTTCCACCAAATCATTTGCCTTTTTCCCTAGTTAACAGGTAACATCATCAAAGTCAATACCCTCTTTCAATTCAAGTCAAACTACTGTAAATTATAACTTTTTGTTACACCTACTTTTGTGTCTTAAAAAAAATCTGTGTACTGTCCCCTAATTTTTCCTTACTCTAAATTTTAATTTTTTTATTTTTTTTTGTCATTACTCTTCAAGTCATGAACTAGTGATATTGTCTCAAATTGTCAACCCTTCCTAAGGATAAGTTGTGATTATCTAAGATATTCTTCACCCATATGTAGTTTGCGAGACATAATAAGAAATCAGATCAAAATGTAATACTCCGTACTATTTTGGGAGAATCAACTTTCCAGATGGAGGGTGTCAAGTGTTGCAAGGAATATCGGAAGTTAGTTTTCTAAGCAGTCAAGTCGGAATCCTTCTTTAACACTGTCAATTGTCAATACCAGTATATGATGTTTAAATTAAATTACTAAAATTTCTTGTGTGGTTCCAGGCATATTGTGAACAAAGCAAACAGCGGCCAGGGAATGCAAGGCGCAACAGGACTTGACTTTCAATACCCAAAAATTAGCCTGAATTCCAATGGAAACACATTCTCAGTTCCTGAATCCACTGCTAGTGATTTTGCATTCCTTACGTCTGATGCAATCTTAAAGACCACACAGAGGGACTCTTCTGTCTCTAGGTCTTATGGTCCAACCCATGACCTCAATGCCCAAAGATCCAATCCACAACGTTCAAATCACTCTTTCATGGATGATCAATCTAGCATTTTGTGGTCGAAGTTGCAAACACAAACAGACAGGACAACCCAGCTATCAATCTCAATACCACCAGCTGATTTTATGTCTTCCACCTCTTCTCCTACTGGAGAAAAAGTTGCTCTATCTCCTTTAAGATTATCACGGGAAGTTGACACTGTCCAAATGGGTTTGGGAGTGAATACCATCACAAATGAGAGGAGACCCAGTTCTTGGGAAACCTCACTTGATGGTCCTCTAGGAGAGGTCCTTAAAACCACCACCAATAGTAGCTCAGGGGTTCAAAGCAAGAGTATATTGCCTCTTAATCTTATATCGAAAGGCTATGATGGTAATCCTCAATCAGCCTCATCTCCAACAGGTGTACTGGGTTATTTCTTTAACAGAAGTGCAGGGAGCAGCCCTAAATCAGAAAGTGGAAAAGCCCTCGAAACTAGTACACTTTCTGGTGATCTTATCGGCTTCACTCTTGGGAGTTCATCTTCCCTGCCCATCTTTTAGCCATTTGGGGTGTATAAGTAGGCACTACTAGACTTCTGTGTCAAAGTTCGAAAATTTGTTGTACAATGCTGTTTTGTAGTCTAGTCCACGACAATTTTTAAGGCTTTGTAGAATTCTGTGACTTAGAAGTTCTTCATTCTTAAGTCATAAGTAGATCATAAGGGAATACTTCAGCTTCTAATGTGCGTTCATATCGCAGTTTTTGGCTGTTTTTTTCACATTTCTTACACGAATTATCGGTAGAGCTCTGTAGTTTGTGACTCTTGGAGTCTGTAGGATCTGTTTTGTTCGCTTGGCTATATATGTGTATTATTGTATTCTTGATGATGAAAATGTCTTTTCCACTTCCAACTAATGAATTGTTATAAATAATATGTAGTATTCCCTCCGTCCCCTTTTGATAGTCCCTTATGGGCAAATTTTAGTCCCAAAATGATCACTTCATTTGTTTTTTTCAACAACCATTAATATTAATTTTTTACCAAAATTCCCTCCAATTTACCATAATACTTGTGCAAATTTATATTTCCCATGTAAATTTTGTTTTCTTATGTACTTTTATTACTTTCTCTCTCTACTTTTTTGCATACCCAATGTTAATTTACTTTTTCACTGTACTTTAACTATTCTTATTTGTGTTTATTAATTCTCGTAAAAAATGCCTATAAGGGACTATCAAAAGGGGACGGAGGGAGTAAAACTTTTGAGCATGTTGAATTTAATCAAGACAATCTTGTGACTAATTTAAAGTAGGAAAAATTGTCAAGATTAATTCTAACTTTGCTTCACCTGTCAATATTAATTCAAATTTTCGTCTATTTTTTATTAATCCCAACTTTGTTCTCAATTTGCTCCTATTACACCCAAGTGACTTGCAACCGGTTTAACAGGTTAACATTTATGAGTCGAATTTTTTTGCACACGTGTTAATGTTTAATTGGTTGAAAAAAGAGAATTTTTTTTTAAAAAAGTAAGAAAATTAAAATCCCTAAAACTAACCCAGCCACCCCACCATCAACACCGACAACACAGCGCAACCCAGCTCCTCCCCCACGTCCGATGCACGCGCACTCCCTTCGTAGCTCATAACTGTCGGAAAACCTACCCAGCCCTAAGCAAACGTTTCCCCACCAAAAAACAACCCCTCTCCCAAGAAAAACGACCACAAAAATTGGCCACAAACGACCGAAATCGACCGATTTTGGGGCCGAATGGTTGATTTAAACCCTAAATCGGTTGATTTCAGCCATTCATGGCCGATGGTATCGTTTTGAAAGTTTAGGGCTGCGGGAATAGGAGCAGATTGGGTACAAGTTAGGAGTTGACGAGGGGTGAACTAGGTCGTTGAAACTAATCCTCTCTCGGTCAAACTAAATTTATAAACACTTAACCAACCTAAATACTAGTATAGAGGCAAGTCAAGGGTCGAACCCAAAGGAACGGTAATGTTCAAGCGCTCTCAATTATGCACCTAAGCTAGATCGAAGTCTAAGGATAAAAGGAGAACACTAACAACTAACAAACAAAGAAACCAAACAAATAAAGCACTAGGAACGGGGATCAACAAGTAATCATGACAATTGTAGCAACTCGGAAATACATGCAAGTCAATGGTTGTGAAGATTAATGGAAAGCTCAATCAAAAGAGTCAACAAGCTATCTCCAAGAGGTCAAACTAGCGCCAACTACGAGAGACTCTAACTAGGAGCATCACTAATCAAGCGCAATCGACAATTGCAATTCCTAAATCAATGGTCCGTATAATTAGAAACTACAATGCAATCTAGCATAGTTCTCAAGGCCTAATAGAATTACACACATGCAAACTTCCGTTAATCGATTTAATCTCAACAATTAATCAACACAATCTCCAAATCAAGAACAATCAATAAATCATCTAAGTTTCACCCAATCCCTAGCAAACAACTACTCTAACATCATCATCATCTAATCAATAACAACTAAAGAAATCAAGAATCAACAAAATATGAAGAACAATTACACTAATCAACAATCAAACATCAAAATCAAACCAAACAAATATGAAATCAAACAAAGCAATAAAATGAGATAGAGTTAAGAATGCTCATTGATAATAGAGAAGATCTTCAACACAATTGTCACCATTGAATCTTCAATCTCTCAATCACCATTGAAATTCTTCACTTTCTCTCTCTAAAATCTACTCCCAATCTAACCCTAAATCTAGAGAGAAAAGCTCCCAACTAAGCTAGAATTATGATCAAAATCTAAAATGAAACTTATTCTTTAAAACTCGCCCCAAATATCGGGTTACAAAGATATATATAGGAGGCGCGAATAAAAACCGAGCAAGGCAAATACCTAGGGAGGCGCGGCCGTGCGGGCAAGGATGCGCGCCTGCGCGGAAGGGCTGCGCGCCTGCACCCGTGGGCTATGCGCCCGCATTCCCCTGGGTTTATTCGATCTTCTCTCAGCTTCGTGCGTTCGCTAAGGTCTTCGAGTTAACGCGCAATTTTTGATGAAGATGAGCACTAAGAGTGGAAGTCCCAAAAAGCACTTGACAGTGGGTTCAACACCCCATCTTCATGAGAGCATGACTTGAAAGCGCAAGAGCTAGAACTTGGAGAATCCACTTCCTTGCATATTCAGCTTTCCAATTACCATGAGCTTGCTCCAAAAGCATCTTCCACCTTAGTAAATCACCAATATCAAGACCCGGACCTCGTACAATACCTACAACCACAAAAATAGAGCAAATAAAGGAGAAAAGAGTAGAAAAACCAACAAAATGCACAAAAGCTACAAAATAGAAGAGGAAAGGTAAAGCCAAGAGCAAATGCATAAAACTAGGCACTTATTGAGCAGGAAAGTTATAAAAAGAAGGTAAAAAAAACCTAAATGCTCATCAAATGGGTGCCATTTATGACACTCATCAGGAGTAATAAAAAATAATATAAGAAAGTTAAAATTAATATTGGCGGATGGAGTTAAGTTGGAATTAATCATGACAATTTTTCCTTTTAAATATTACAACCTTTGGGGATCTTAATTTAAAACGAGGGAGCCCCAGTTTCTCACTATGAGAAACAAAAAGTTGTTTCTCAAGGGGTAATTAAGTAACCTAAACTAATTAATGAAGGACAAATATGTAATTTGCTTTGTACTTGAGTTAACTTCATGAAACTCTAGTTAACTTAGCTTGCATCACTCACACCGTCAACAATCATCCTTCTTCTTCCTCCTTCCTCCTTTCTCTTTCCTCCTCTATTGAAGCTCACATCAAAGGGCCAACACCATTGAAGACGGTGACATTAAAGACGACCCCATTCGGCGCCGATATGAACGAAAACATGTCCTCCATTGAGGCTAAGCTTGAAACTTGATTTCCTCCTTACTAATTTTCTAAAAATCTCTCCACTACTAAATTTATGAATTTTCCTTATTATTCAATACACCAAATTGGAGCTCATAAACAAAATCGACGCTTCAACATCAAATGTCGAAGCTGCTCGTACTTCGATCTGCTCGTATCTCGACCTCATTTGTCTCACCAATACGAAATTTGACCAAAAACATTAACCTTTTGGTTTTATGCCGTCAACGTTTTTCAATGTTGTAATAGTAGACTAGTTGGGTTGTTTAACCCAAGGTTAGTGGCCAGTTATGTTTGGAGTATATTTTAATATTTGTCATGGTACCCAAAGCAAGTTAATTACAAAATATGCCACTTAAGAAACATATTTTGTTTCTCATTCTGATAAACTTGATTATTCATTTAAAACAAGTTAAAAAAAAAACTTGCTTGTAGCCTAATTAAATAGGTTACATGACACATGTCCTCATACAATTGGTTCGACTTTTTTTCCTTCTCTTTCCTCTTCCTTTCTCTTCCCCCCTCCATAACCTCCGGTTAACCCTCCCACTGCACTTCCCTTTCCGGCCACCCCTCCTCTTACTCACCTCCCTTCCCCGTCGCACTTCCCTTTCTGGCCTCCCCTTCGTAATCCATCTCCTTTCCCCTCATTCCTTATATGTCACCCTACCCCACTGGCCACCCACCCACCGCCAAAATCCAGAAAAGCCCCACCCAACTCCCTCTAGACCAATTGAAACCCCCAATCACTCCTGTTGATACCAAGTAAAACCCCTACCACTTCTCCCGAAATCACCTCCTTTGAAACCAACTGAGATCCCCATCCACCCTCCCTTATATGGTAGAATAAGGTGCTTAATGTGTTGTGGTAAACTATGTGATTTTACTAATACATCATCAATGTAAACCTCCATAAAGTCTTTCATCATATCACCAAATATGAGGTTCATAGTCCTTTAATAAGCAACTTCTACATTTTTATGACCAAATGGCATGGCCACATATTCATATGTGGGTGAAAATTCAGTTTGTGGTATGATTTATAGCCCAAATCTAACCCAAACCATATTAATTCGATTTGAGATTTTTCAAACAGTATCACACTATATTATTATTCGGTTTAAACCAAATCATACCATTTTTAATTCGGTTTTAAAAATAAAAACTAAGTCGTATCGCAATTTTAAGGGCTTAGTGTTTTGAGCTTTGATTTGTAATTTTTTTTATCCTTACTCAACTACAAATTTTTACCTACACCTTGGGGCAGGGAACATTGCCTGCACACCCCCCCTCCGCGCGTGCCCTTGCCCCCTTCCCTTTTCATTTATGAATTTGTTGTAAATTAGTAACATGTTCATTTATGTATTGATAAATGTTCATTTTTAAATAATTAAATGTTCATTTTTTTAATAAGAAGTTTTTTTTTGTTCAATTTAATATATTTTCTGAATTATTGTATTTTTAGAATTTTTTATAAATAAAAATGAGAGCAAATTTATTTATAAAGGATTATTGTATTCAAATCATTTTAATTATAGGAAGTATTGCATCATCAAACATTCATTTTTGTTTATTTATGTTTCAATAGATGTTTATTTTTGTATCATCAAATGTTCATTTTAAGAATTATGTGTAAGTAATATAGTAAGATGTATGCAAATACATACGTCTTAGAATCTTATTTATTTAAATAAAACATTGCTAAAATAATTTTTAACATAAAATATATTAAATTCAATTACAAGAATAACACATTTCTATACTATATCATGTAACTGTTTCATAAACATGAAAGTAAACAATTAAATCTTAAATGTACATATGAGTCTTGTAAAATGAACATTGTTTGTTACATATGGTGTATATAATAAAGTGACTATACATACATCTTCCTTGTTTCACCTCTAATCATATGAAATTTTTGTATTTTCCATTAAAAATATAATCTGAGCACAATGTATATCTCATATTCAACTTC